GATAGCTGAGGTCAAGACGAATCCAATGGCCTATAATACCATGACCTTCACGTGACCTTGAGAATGAAAAATTCAGAAATTTGAGGAATGGGTGCGAATAATGAAATAAGTACAATACAAAATTTTGCATTGAAAAATTCATTGTAATAAATGTTCAAAATTGTTTCCATGTACTTCTAAACATTTGTTGATTAGAGTATTAAGCGAACGTCGCACATATTTTTCATTCTTTCATGTTATTACGTGTCGTAGGCTTTGTCGAAAAAACTTTCTCTTTGATAAAGCCCCATAGAAAAAAATCTAGAGGAATGTTGAAACCACATAACCAGACGTAAGAATAGAGAAACATCTTCTAATAATGAAGGAAGTGTATTCTTCTCGCAATGCATTAAATATTTTATATCTAAATAAATGGATAGGAAGAGGAAGTCTGACTCCTTGGCCGCCACGTTCTCCTGATATTAATCCTCTAGATTTCTTTCTATGGGGCTTTATCAAAGAGAAAGTTTTTTCGACAAAGCCTACAACACGTGATAACATGAAAGAAAGAATCCGACAAGCTTGTGCTGCTGTAACACCCCAAATGTTAGCAGATGTGCGACGTTCGCTTAATACTCGAATCAACAAATGTTTAGAAGTACATGGAAACAATTTTGAACATTTATTACAATGAATTTTTCAATGCAAAATTTTGTATTGTACTTATTTCATTATTCGCACCCATTCCTCAAATTTCTGAATTTTTCATTCTCAAGGTCACGTGAAGGTCATGATATTATAGGCCATTGGATTCGTCTTGACCTCAGCTATCGCGCTATAATGAAAAAAATATGTAGTCCTATTTAAAAAAGTATCGATGACCTTGAAGGCTATAAAAATATGACCTTGAGAAAGAAATAAATCTCACCATAATGTATGTCCCTTCGAACCAAACAATTTCTTCCTCAGGCATTTTCGCGTATCATTAACGGTAACGGAGATATTGCCTTGTAACAGAGTTACTGGGACACCCTGTATATCTAGAAAACAAGCTGTCCTATTGGATATCGTACCGTCGTACGTCGTATGTCGTACGCAGTGTGAATCCTACATGTACTAGTACGTTCTTTTATATCTTGCACTAGTACAATTTTCTATCAGTGCAGTCCAATTTAGTACTAGTTCAGTGCAGCACTAGTGCACACTAGTGCAGAGAAAAAAAACATCTATAGTAGCATTCAATATACCGAATCTCACCATTACATCTCAGAGTTTAACGACGATAAGATCTGTTCATATTTTTGTGGTCTGATATTACTTTCCGCATTCAATTTTTTATTTATTATGTTTTATGTCATCAATTTATCTTCGGGTATTGAATTTTTCTTTTATTGGTTTCACATTCAATAACAATTTATATGTAATACGTAGATGTATAAGACATAATTTATTAATCGTTATTTTTTGAATATTTTCGTTTATTGTTGCTCGTATGCTAAACAATTTTTATGGATGATATATTTGTACAATGACATAATTTTTATTCGATCATTTTCCTTTTTTGTGAGCCATGTTCATAACAATTTTTATGTAAGACACAGATGTTTTAATATTTTAAATTGATTAATTTGTAATTTTTTTTTATCTTTTATGACATTCGATTGTATTAGGCTGCAGTCCACTTGACGCTACAAACGCTTCGAAGCGTTCTTTGATTAGTTAATTCGTAAAATTCTTTGTTCTGATTGGTCGCTGAAACGCTTCGAAGCGTTTGTAGCGTCAAGTGGACCGCAGCCTTAGTTACGTATTCATTATTTTGCTATATTTGTAATTAAAATATGAAGGAGGATATCAACTTCATTGATGTTAATATTATTGGCCACTTTATTGTACAATTGTCACGAAATCGATGACTACCTAGATTGCATTTGAGGCATGGTCTGGAACATACGAGCTATAAGTTCCAACAAAGACGAACCATTCTGGACAGTTTATATACCGCAATTATTTTTACCAACATACGAATATGTATGCGCCTTTATTATATACCGACCATAATGCGTTGTTACCGGTAACATTTGAATTTATTTTTTAACGAATTGGAAAGAGTAAGGGCACTAGGAGTCAGGCGCAGAAGACGTCGCGCAAATGATACACTTATAAAGAGTGAAATTTCTTTATAAAGAAGTTCTTTATAAAGAAGTTTCATTCTTTATAAGTGTATTATTTGGAAGGTGTGTTGTTAATGGGCACTGCAGATTTACCAGCTAAGAGTGATTTTTTTAGTTTTGTTCAATTCAATGGAGATTATGGTTGTCCATCATGTTATTGCAAAGGTGA